CGAGTAAAGATCACACGGAGTCATCCTAATCGTTAGTTCGAGATTCGGTGGTGAAACGAATATGTGCATCTATATGAATTTCACTATATGGAAGTGATTAAACTGAGCCAGACTTTGGTTACATGTCTCAATGAACCACGGCATAACAATTTGCCTATAACAATACATGTATGGTCACCGCTGTTTCTTACCTGTACATATTTATAATATATGGGGTGGGCAGTGAATAGAAAGAAGGATGATTATTAATGATTATTCAAAGGGTGGACTGCAGTGAAAGGGTTGATTCTGAAACTTTTGCTTATTACATGATAATAGAATTGTTATAACGTCTATGCTTGTCAGAAGGCGTATGGCAACAACTGCCATAACCCTATTTTAAAATAGACGTATAACGCCCCTTCACAATATATGCAAAGAAATAAGAAATATCTTTTGGAAATATGTGCTGCTTAGTTATAGTAACTTGAGAACAAATGAGGTTCAAAATGTAGAAGGGTTCCTGTTCCAGTTCAAAATTTCGTATCACATAAAGATATGCATTTGTTATCTAAATGGCAATCAAATGGGTTTAAATAGAAGCGTGGCATATTTACAGAAGCTGGTTTAAAGCAATTTGATGTTTTACAGACTGAGTTTAACATAAATGGAACCTATCTTCCCTATAATGCATTAAAACTAATAATACATGTTTTGCCTTACTGTACTGTTTAAGGGATACATAAGAAAGAAATGAAGTACATCTTCCCCGTATGATAGCCACAACAACATCTTGGGCTGTCGGATATAAATCTGGCAAATTTGTCGTCATTTAGATCATTGCAGCCAAGCCTGAGACGGGAGTGTATAACCTGACAGAATCTTGATACATAATTTGTATCAAAGTATATACCATTCCTATCATTGCTTTTTATAAAACTTTTAAAACTTCCTAAGCTACTGGCATTGGTGTATTCAATAGGTAGTGAGTTCCAAATATAAACTGTATCTGGAATAAATGATTTGGCATAATTATTTGATTTAGACTTTGTGGTTTGCAGCAGTTTCTCAAATTATAATCACTTATCCGACACTCTATTTGGAACTAAGGATGAGAGATAGTCTGGTACTAGATTGTTAACCATTTTATAAAAAATATTTAACTTTTGAAAATGCCTTCATTCTTCAAATGACATAAGATTTGTTTCTTTATAAAGTTTACCGTGACTTGTGCCACGAACAGCCCCACAAATAGTTCTGAGTGCATCTAGATTTAGTTTTTCAAGTAGTAACGCCTGTTCTTTTGTGCAGTTGTCCCATATGTGGCAACAGTAATCAAATATCGGTAGTATGAAAGATTTATACATAGTTTCCAGTGTTTTTCTATTTAAATGATACTTGAAACTCCTGAGACAGTGAATCATTGGACTGACTTTCTTGACTAGGTTATCAATGTGATCTTCCACATACAATCTTCTTGGAGAGTAAGTCCTAGATGTTTATGAGGATGAACTTCCTGAACAGTAGTGTTACTCATTTTCAAAACTGGTTTTACATTTGGAAGAATCTTCCGGGAAAATTGGATAGATACTGTTTTATTAGGGTTGAAATCGACCTGCCAGTTTTCCGCCCAAGAGGATATTCTACTTAGATGGTTATTCAGACAATGTGCTGCTGTATTCATGTCATTTACCACGACATATAGGGATGTGTCATTGGCAAACAATCTTATATTACTATCAATATCGTCTATAATGTCGTTTATGAAAATTAGAAACAGTAGCGGTCCTAAAACTGACCCTTGTGGAACTCCGGCCGTAACTGGTCGTAAGTCTGAACTATACCCATTGATAACAACCCGTTGGCATCTATGTTTTAGGAAGCTTTCAAACCATCTCAGTAATTTCCCTTCATTCCATAGGATTTGAGTTTATGGATAATGCCTTTGTGCCAGACTTTATCAAAGGCCTTACTAATGTCGCAAAAGACTGCTCTGATTTCTTTGCCTTTATCCAATTCTCTAGCAATAAAATCATATAAGTAAGTCAGCTGGTTTAGCGGTAGAATCTCCTGGCATGAAACCTGATTGGAGATTTGTAAACAAATTATTATCTCTTAAGTAATTAAAACATATTTGAAAACGCATTTTTCGAATATTTTAGCCACACAACACGTGAGAGCTATAGGCCTATAATTACTACATTCATTAATATTACCTTTCTTATAAATAGGCATAACGGAAGCTTCTTTCCAACTTACCGGAAAAGTAGACTTATCCAGGGATACATTAAACAATTTAGCCAGTGGATATGATATCGCTGAAGCATTTAATTTCAATAATCTATTGCCGATACCGTCGGGCCCTGTTGCTTTAGTTACATCAACAAATAGGAGAACATCTTGAACTTCCTTTGTTGTTAGAATGATAGTAGAGACCGATTCTTCTGTTTTCAGCTTAATATAAGGGAGAGTTTTATCAGGATATTTAACAGTTGCCTGGTCAGAGAAATAATTGTTCATCACATTTGCAATATCTCTTGTATCATCATATAGTATATCGTGGTAATTAATGAGAGGAAATTTTGTATTACTGGTGCTAGGGCTGGGGCGGGTAACTCGGGTACCCGGGTCGGGTGGGTACTGAGTAGGACCCGGGTACCCACAGGACTAACCGGACCCGTGGTTAGTCACGAGATCTATTGTTTAATGACAAAATGTATCTTGAACTCTGTGGTTAAACTACAAGTCACTAATGTTTTGAATTTCTTTGTGACTGTGCAGCCATTCCTTCTGGTTTTTCATATGGTTGAATAAAGATATAACTTATTCAACTTCAGTGTATGAATGACCAGATTACTTAATACATGTATCTAAATACGTTTTGCCAGGGCTATGCTAAAAATGTTCCTAATCGGACATTTTGAGACATCCCCTGAGACCTACAGTGGGTACCCGGGTAGGGTTGGGTAATAGGGGGGTGGGTACCCAGGTAGTAAATTTGGACTCGTCCCAGCCCTAACTGGTGCCCCTCAGATATTTTTTAGGAATATGATTATTACATACGTCAGTAATTGTCCGGGTAAAACATTCTGCCATAACGTCAACATTTCAGGATGATAACAAATGATCCCACTTTGTCTCAGTTAAGCTATCAATAATTTCTTCATTATCAGCCATGTTGTAATTATAGATTTTTCTTTTAAAATTTGCATTGCTAGGTATGTTTGCCTTAATTTTTACGAATATAGGACAATGATCACTGCATATAGGATCGGATACACCCGAACTCCACACACTGTCTGCATTAGTTACAAACAGTAAATCAATCAGAGTTCTGAAGGTAGGTGTTATCCTGGTGGGCTCAGTTATAATTTGGGTCAACCTATATATTGCTTGTAAGTGATCTATTTTGCTCTTACTTTCTCTAAGAATATCTAGATTAAAGTCCCCAGGTATAATAGTTGGTATATTCAAATCTATTGCATTACATATTGACTGATCTATCAACTCCCTGTAAGTCTTGCTTTTATCTGCCCTATAGAATGTCCCTACTACGTATTTACTGGTCTTGCATCTTACCTGTACCCATAATGCTTCGTGTCCATTTACGCACAGATGATCCATGTTTTTAACATATAAATTGTTTTTTACATATACAGTTACACCCCAGCCTCGACTTGGTCGATCTTTTCTAATTGGCAAATGAAAACCTGGAATTGAAATATCAACAGTAGGTATGCCGACATGCAGCCTAGTTTCGGTTAAGCAAATAATATCGTATGAATGAAATTCAGTGCAGAGTAGAACTTCCTTGTCCTTTAAACTCCTTACATTTAGATGAACAATCTTTAAATTACCATATTTTACTGGCCCAGGGTTTGGGTGAACATCCCCGCAACCTAAGAGAAGTATCACTACTATAATAGACGTTCTTAGCTTATAGATACAACAGGAAGAGAGAAACAGCAAGTACTTTGTAAATTTGCAAGATGCCTTGCTATAAAGACTAGAAGCAAATAATCCCACTGCCTGTCTATAATGCGCTATATCTACCGGCATCTTTTTTTAACAGAATATATTTGTTTTCTATAGAGGCAGGCGGGGAGGCTACACGCGGAGTATAACTTTGCAATGCTGAAATGCACTATATATAACCAAAAACTGACAACAGAAAGCTGAATGAAAACTACAGAGAGAAAGAATGTCACAACACTCACAGACAAAACATGACCAACACAAAATGAACTTTCGAAACATAAACAAAATCTATATACATCAACCAAAACGTTGGTTGTAGAATAATAATAAAAAAGCAGATTAATTGGGTAACAATAAGAAGAAAGGATAAAATCAAAGTCACCATAGTTTGGTGTAGAGTAATGAGAAACTAACTGAGAGGGGGAAATAATATAAAATATGTTTTCATAACAGATTGTGTGAACGGAAGTAGTAGATAAATTTAATATAAAACAAAAAAAGATGGATAAATAACTATAACAATATGAATAAACTGAGCTCACGCCCGGGGCAAGTCTAGGTTCTGGCACACCTGGGTTAATTTTCAGGGACTTGGCACGTGCATATGAAATGAACAAGCCACAACGATCAAAATTAGCCTTCTAACAGGCTGGGATATCCTTCAAATATATGCACATTACTGTGTGACCATATAGCAACTCCCCTAGATATTTTTCACAGGATTTGGGAATATAGACTAAAACTACGGTAACACACAAATATCTTCAGAAATGCTTCAACATGATTCAAACATTTTCTAAAGATAGTCAGATAAGAAAACTTCAGTATATTTTTTTCAACTCCTGAGTATTTATTTAAAATTAGAAAAGAATTAAATAGATTTCTGTAGTTTGTGCAAAGATGAATAGGAATCTCTAGAGCGTAATATACAGAAATCATACATGTATGTATATCTCTTTGTCTCTCTCTTTCTTCCTTTCTCACCTTTTCTATTTCAAGGCTAATAATAGCCACGCGAGTTTGTCACGTGACGCCTCACGCCACGCGTCACGCGAGGCCTATCACTGCGAGAACTGCAGACACGACACTTGGCCCCGCCATTGTTACAGGACACACTGTGACGATACAACCCAGATTCTTCTCACAGCTTATAGCGATTTTAAACGCTCTCGTAATTCACATGTGAGTATGTCTGACAATTACACCTTTTTCTTAAAATATTCCCTACATGTTGTTTATTTGTATTGTATACATACAGTAATTTAACTAACTATAATCTGTGCCTCGATCCATGTCAGTCAGCCATTTTGGAATTTGCCTCATATCAAACCTGGCAAAATGTATGATATAGTGAGGTGGATGTGTATGTGAGTACGTGTAAGGATACACAAGGCTTGGTATGATATAGTGAGGTGGATGTGTATGTGAGTATGTTAAAGGATACCCACTGGAGCGTTTAGGATAGTGATTTAATCCTGCCACGCCCGCTACCTGAGCTGCATGTCGATATAATCTGGGTAAACTGCAATGTTGCATGTAAACATCGCCCCCTGTGACGACACACCTGCATATCGGGTAACTGGTTACTGATCCAATAAGGCAGTTGTGTGTGTGTGTGTGTGTGTGTGTGTGTGTGTGTGTGTGTGTGTGTGTGTGTGTGTGTGTGTGTGTGACACACTTACGAGGCCTTCTCCTATATACATTTCATTACATTGTGGTATGTGAATAATGATAGTGCAGAATAAATGTACAGTGCATAGGAATTACAAGTAATGAGAAAATATAATAACGCACATATTCATATATATATACAGTATTACACACAAACACATATACCTACATACACTCACACACACATACATATATACATATGATGAATTTATATTTTTGTTATACAATGCTATATGATATATTTATAAAATAACACAGTAGTTAATAAACTAATAGACATTATACATTTGTGTGGAGGGCAGGAAATTATAAATGTAACTAAGCTGTGACAATTTCATGTAATGCTATTGTTTTACATCAAAATCAAAGTTATAACGAATACACAAACTAATAGAAAGAAACAACAAAAACAAAAAAAATATAAAAAATATATAAAAATATAACTAAGACTTTTTGTGTTGAAACAACCATGTATTATATGTGCAAGTCACATGTAAAATCAAGATAATTTGAAAGTAGCTCGTGAAATATAATTCTTGTTATAATTCTTGTTATATTAAGATACAATTTAAAATGTGTTTTAAAATCTGTTTGTTTCTACAATAAATTGATGGACATATTTAAAAATTAAGTTATTTTGTTCTTTGGATAGATTTTTTTGTTAGCACTAAGAATCCCTAAGTCCCTGTATTCCTAATATTGATAAACAAAGATTGTCTTATTAAAGAATATTTTTTACATTCAAGAAAATAGTGAAAAGCATTTTGGCATGGGGAACCGCAAGGGCAAGAAATAGTGTCTGACAAATTAACCCTAAATAAATCATCATTTAGATTGCTACATCTATGTCTAAGTCTTGTGTGGATAATATTAATTTGACGCTTTCCATACCTGAAATAATATGGAGATTTAATAACATTTGGATAAATTTTTGTTTTTAATTCAGCTACAGAGATACTATTTTTAATATTTTCATTTTGTGAATTCCATTGTTTTAAAGAGTCTATTATAAATGATTTCTGAAATGTACTTGTTCTGACAAAATGTACAGTCACGTTCTGTTTGCTACGTAGGTTATAATTTGAAGCAACTGATCTATTGTGGGGTAACAAATCATTTATTATTATTTATTATTTTGTGCATTGTTGTAAGTTTTTTTATTTTTCGTCTCTCTTTTAGTGGTAGCCAGCCGGTTTCGAAATATAAGCGTTTCCTCGAGGCAAATTTGGTCAAACCTGTCACAATTCTGACAGCGTCAAGCTGTATTAATTCAAGTTTATTTTTGTTATAAGCAGAACAGTTGTCCCATACTTCCAATGAGTATTCCAGAATAGGTCTTATAAATGTCAGATAGATTTTTGACACATTATATCTATTCAATTTATATTTAAGTTTACGCATAGCTGAAACCATTTTCGCTGTTGACCTAGCAATAATTGAAACATGTGCAGTCCATTTCGTATCTTGAGATAACGTGACCCCCAGATGTTTGTGGGTTTCTACATGTTCAATGGCACTGTTGGCATGACAAATAGTTGGATAATCCTGTACCTGTTTGTGACCAAAAAGCATGTATTTTGTCTTGGTTGGATTAAAGTTTACAAGCCATGTGCTTGCTCACTGGTGGAGATAGAGAAGGTCATGATTTAGTCTGTCTTCAATTATGACCATATCAGTAGATGAAGGTCCTATACATGTACCGTCGGCGAATAACCTAGCAATATTTTGAAGCTGATCAGTAATATCATTTATGTAAACTAGAAATAGGAACGGCTCCAGTACAGAGCCCTGTGGGACCCCTGCTTTAGTGATTTTTTTACTTTATAAACTACCATTAATAAATACTCTTTGGCAAAGGGCTGACAGAAATCTATGATACCAAGCTAATGATTTACCAGTTATACCATATTGTTGAAGTTTATGCAATATACATTTGTGCCATACCCTGTCGAATGCCTTAGAAATATCACAGAATATCATACCAAAATATTTATGATCATCAAGCGAATTACAAATGTGATGGTAAATTTCAATTAATTGATATGTAGTACAATTGTTTGGCATGAATCCCGATTGATATTTGGAAAGTAGTTTATTCTCCAGAAAGTAATTATACATTCATTTAAAAATAAGTCTTTCAAATAAATTTCCCAACACAAGATAACAGTGAAATAGGCCTGCAGTTGGAAGGGTTGGATTTATCTCCCTTTTTGTACAAAGTCATTACATTAGCTTGTTTCCACTGTGATGGGAATGTGCTTTGTTCAAGAGACAAATTGAATAACAAAAGTAAAGGATTGGCTATGGATAGTGATATACATTTAGTAAAATCTGTGATTCAGGTTGTCGGGACCACTTGCTTTATTTACCGGTAGGGACTTTATGAGATCTGTTATTTCTTGACTTTCAATAACGGTATAATCCAATTTATGTTCACATAGTTTAACAATTGGTGGTAGTGAGGCGCCTTCATCATCAACATTGGAAACTGACGTAAAATAACCGTTGAGAGCTTCAGCTTTATCAAAATCAGAAAATGCTTCAGGTACAGTGTTGTTGATAGTGACCAGAGGTGGGATCACGGTGCTGGCTCCAGACTCTTTGATCAACTGACGGAGGAGTTTCCAATAATTAGAACTGTCTTCCTTGATTTGTGTAGATAATAATTCATCTAAGTTAAGATAAAAGTTTTCTTTGGCAGCTTTCTTCAAATTGTTTACTTTATTTCTTTGTTTTCTATATTTAGATAAATCGCGATCATTGCATGTTCGTCTAGCTTTTTTTCTCAGACGATCTCTTATTCTTATTTCTATACATAGGTCACTATCAAACCATTTAATTCATTTAACTTCGCATAGTCACCATCTTTATAAATTAGAACCTCTCTTACATAGGATTTTTTCATGTCAGTGCAGTTCGTTAGTGAAACAACAACTCCCTTGTGGTCACTTATATCCATGCTGAAGTCGACAACACCACATTCTATACAATTACAATCGTCACTGATAACAATAGGGTCAAGCAGAGTTTGTGAATGCTGAGTGATGCGTGTCAGCTCTTTAATAACATTACGTAAACTCTTCCTAACTAAAATATTGTGCAGATGGTGAAGGTTGTTGTTGAGTAAATCTTCGTTAAAATCACTGAGTAGATCAAAATAAGGCATATAATCTAGAGCAGTTTCAAGTGAGTGTTATAGTTGATCCCAATACAACACAGGGGTGTCTGTACCACGCACATAATAATATTCTCTTCTGAGGCAAGAAAACCTCGAAACAGATATTTTCATAATTGTATGATTCTAAATATTCCCTACGTTTAACGTACAACAATGCCGAGAAATATACAATAGTACCACCACCAAAACAATTCCTATCCCTCCTATAGGGAGAATGATAAAGGTCTATTTCCAGGTCATTTGTGTTTACAGAATCATCAAGGTGTGTCTCTGTAAAACATACAATGTCATATTCAGAGATTTGCTCAGAGATACAAGGTAGTTTACATCGGAGACTTCTTACATTTAACCTGGGTTTTGGTATCGTGAGCAACAAACTTAAAAAGGACCTGTGCTCGGCCATCAATGATCTTGCCGATAACATGCGAGCGATCAATGTCATGCCGAGAGATCTTAACATGGAGACTTGTTTCACAAATGTCAGTGATTTTTTGGTGTGTGTGCGTGCGTGCGTGCGTGCGTGCGTGCGTCTGTGTGTGAGAGTATGTGCGTGCGTGCGTGCGTCTGTGTGTGAGAGTGTGTGTGGCTGCTTGTACTAGTTCGGACTGATGCTGTTTTATAATGCTATCTCACAGAGACACCATGCCGCAGTTTAACAAGAATACCCCACTCAGACACAGTATACTGACCCCGAGCTGGCCAGTCGGGGTAGTGGGTTAGCGTCGTACCCAAATTGTATATACTGCTTCAAATTATTATTTTTTAAATAAGATTTAGAATTAGTTAGGCAATTGACAAGACACAACTGCCTACCCCTTCCTTTACTCATTTCTGATTAATAACTTTTAATATCAACTTTCTTTTATTTCTTATAAAAAGAAGTACATGTTACATAAAATGGTAGCCACTTCTTAATGTGATGTAATCCGACATCAAATTTGTCCTCCTTCTTGAGGGCGGTCGGGTAGCCTACTGGTTAAAGCGTTCGCTCGTCACGCCGAAGACCCGGGTTTGATTCCCCACATGGGTACAATGTGTGAGGCCCATTTCTGGTGTCCCCCGCCGTGATATTGCTGGAATATTGCCAAAAGCTCACTCACTCACTCACTCACTCACTCTTCCTTCTTGACAATGTGATATAGTTTAATGGGCCCAGAGAAGGAGGCTGTCTGTTTTGAATTAAAATATATACAAGACAAATAATCCTTCCATCTTACAGCTGGCATTTTGAAAGTACAAATGATTAATATCTATGAATGTCTACATATTTATACTATTGGCTTACTTTAAAGTTTGTTTTACAAATAATTATGAAAGAAAATCCACAGCTTGC